CTAATCCCCCCCTTCCGGGTTACAACAAGAAATACGCACCTGTCGCTGGTTCCAGAGAAAAGTGACCGGTGGCTCGGGCGCACGCGAGCACTTTTTTTGGAGGAAGGGAAAAAGGAGAGGGGGGACGGGGTGAGGGGGGGGGCACGGGAACGAATGCAGGGATGATGCAGATCATCATCGTAGATGTCGTTGTATGTTGTATGGATGTAGGGGTCAGGAAGCTGGGTGTGTGTGGGGGGGTAGGGTGGGGGCACAGGAGCGAATGCAGCCGGGAGCGGGATTTGTTCATGGGCTCGGTCACCATCAGTTGAAGACGATCCAGGTGAGGATGTACTCGACGATGGTGAACGGCAGGAGGAGGATGTTGATAGGGAAGGGGAGGCCACCAAACCAGGACGATGCCTGAAAGTAGAAGCCGAGGGCGGCAACGGCCAGAGCCATGCCGGTAAAGGCCGGCGAGCCCTCCTCGACCTTGGAAGCGGCGGCAAAGCCGCGGCGCTCGGCGTAGTGCAGGACACCCTTGGTGAAGAGGAAGCCACCCTTGACGGCGGCGTGGAAGGTGGCGATGATACGGTGGAGCGTGTAGGCGATGGAGATGCCAATGGTCTGGCAGGCGTACTGGATGACCGGGTCGATCCACTTGTGGTACTCGGGCTCGACAATGCGCTGCAGCGACGGCTTGAGCGTCTTGTTGGAGGCGCGGACGAGCGTGGAGGCGATAGAGGTGCCGAGGGTGATGGCCTCAGCAAAGTGGATCTTGAGGGTGGCGACAACTGCGATGACGCCAGCGTTGATGCCGGCGATTGCGTGCTGGATCTTGACCGGGTTGCATGCCCGAAGAATGACCCGGACCTTGCGCGAGGCCAGCTCCTTCTTGGTGATCTGGTCAACATCGGCAATGCCGTCATTGTTCTCGTCCAGGAGCGAGTCCTTGCGGTAAGCCTCACGCACAATTTTGTAGTCCTCGTACAGCGAGAGGATGCAGTCGCGGGTCGTCTCCCACCCGCAGAGGCGGAAGGCTTCTACAGCAGCGATCGAGACCATGAACGACGAGCCAAAGAAGCAGACAATGAACCCAAGGCCGGCCACCGCAAACTCCTCTGGGTGGTACGGCTGGATGGCAGCCCAAAACGCAACCGCTGCAGCAGCGACGTTCTCCACGTGCGGGCCAACAACGTCGATGATCGTACCGAGCACCGCCAGCGCGGGGGCAACCTTGGCGATATAAGGCAGGAGAAACGGCGGCGCCGAGTCTTCTGCAATTTCCATGACCTCCTCCTTGCTCATGTTGTCCATCTGGACGTCTTCAGCCACCATCATCGGCGGCGGCACTATCCATCCGAAAGCACAGCCGGAATACCCAGTCGATCACCCGGCCGAGCAGTCCAGCCCCCACCAGCCACCAGCCGATCCCGATCCCAGCCCCACCCAGCCGATCCCAGCCACGCCAGCCGCCATAGCCCCCACCAGCCACCAGCCGATCCCGATCCCAGCCCCACCAGCCGATCCCAGCCCCACCAGCCGCCATAGCCCCCACCAGCCGATCCCAGCCCCACCAGCCGCCACAGCCCCACCAGCCGATCCCAGCCCCACCAGCCGCCACAGCCCCACCAGCCGATCCCAGCCACGCCAGCCGCCGTCGGTCACACCCCAACACATGGTGAGTACAGGGCATTTCCCCCTTCCTCCTCTCCCCTCCTCCCCCCTCCATATACCTACCCTCACCACCCTTCCGCTCACGGAGTTCCGTTGCCATAGCTGTTTCAGAGTGAGCTGTGTCGCCTTGACCGTCTCGTCAGCCTGCGCGCGTTTGTTCGGCGGCGGCTGCCGGTCGACGCGCGTTTGGCCGGTCACCGCACCACCATATTGACGGGCCATTTTGGGGGTTTAAGAGGGGATCACGACTAGTTCTTGGCTGCCGCTCAAAAACATTCGAGATCATGGCCATCGTAAGGTGCAAGGAGCGCATCGAGGTCCGAGTACACCGCATCCACTTGGGTGGTGGCCTTGCGGAGGCTGGTAAGATCGGTGGCTGAGAGGCAGTCGCTGTGAGCTGCCACAGCGACACGGATGCTCGGCACAGCGGCACCTTCGTCACCAAACAGATTCTCTGCGAGGGTGATGATCTCAGAAGCGACCAGTCGGACTTCGTCGCGGACGCCAGCGAGGAGCTTCGCCGCCATCTCGCCGAGGCGCGGACAGAGGTGCTCGATGGCCCAGCTGGTGTGCTCGGGGTGCCGGACCAGCGCGTCCAGGACTCGCAGTGCCTGGGCGCGAGTCTCCCAGTCGCCACCGCCGCCGTCGGCTGCTGCTAGCAGCGCGGCCGCATACTCGCTGTGGGTGGTCGGCTCCATCGCCACCAGCGCGGTGCAGTCGAGGACCTGCCAGCCGGCGAGGCGCACGCCGTCATCACCATCAGCGGCGGCGACGTGCAGGACGTTGCCGATGAGGTGGCTTGCCTGTTCTGGCGCAGCCCGCCACAGTGCAGCGGCGGTGTGGATTGCTGCAGCGCGGACGTAGCCGTCGTCATCATCAAGTCGTGCGCGGACAAGCGCGGCTACGATGCCGTCGTTCCAGCTTGCAAGCTCTGGCGATGCAACCCGGGCTACCAACGCCAACCCGCCATCGCGCGCCTCCCATCGCGGCGATGAGAGGGCAAGGACGGCAGCGTTACCAACAACTGCGGCGTTGGTGCCAGATGATGCCGCCATGGCGCCAAGCGTAGCATACAGCGCCGCCACCCTCGCCGGGCGGAGCGAGGCAACAACAACGACATGCTCGCGGACAGCTTCAAGCAAGCTGCACGCAGCAGCAGCAACATCAACGCCTCTTTCGGCTAGCATCGCGCCTAGCTCGGCAGCCGCCACCAAGCGGTTACCGGATGATTGGACACCGATGGCCAGTGCGTCTGCCAGGACGGCGCCAGCCGCGTCTGTGCCCAGCACCATGACCCCGGCCGCCCCCGCATCGAGCATGGCTAAGGCGACATCGCGTTCGGCTGTGACATGCGATGCCAGCGCCGCCACTGCTGCCTCGCCACCGCAAGCGCCGGTCACCCGGACTGCAGCTGTGAGGACTCGCGGCGCTGACGCAGCCAGCGTTCGCAAGCCCGCTGCAGTGTCGAGGGCCAGCGCGCCGACGATCGCGACTGCCAGCTCGTCAAGGCCGTCGAGCTCGCAGCGCGAGAGCGCGACGAGCAGCGCCAGCTGCTCCCTTGCTCGTTTGCCTACTAGCGCAGCAGCTGCCTCATCAGCCAGTGCAGTCCGCAGCGCCAGACTGCCCAGGAGCGCTTCACGGGCAGCTCGGGTGCCGGCATCAGCGCCGCTTGCCAGCGCCCTCATCCAGACCGGTAGCACGAGCACCGGGGCAAGAGCGACGACTGCGCCTGCGGCCACATCCCGCGCCACCAGCGCCAGCGAACACACAGCCACTGCATGACGAACATATGCCGAGGCCGAGGCCTCCATCCATACCGCCAGCTCGCCCAACGTCGCGTGTGCAGAGCTGATGAGGCGGGGACAAGCAACTACAGCGGCGAGGACCTCAAGCAGCACAACCTGGAGCGAGGCCGACGCAGTACCTGCAGCATGTTCAGCAACAAGGCGATCTACAGCATTTTCCAGAGCCCGTGCTACGTCATTGCTAGCGACGGTATGGCGGACGAGGGCGAGCGCCATCCGCACAGCGGCACCAGCAACTAGCGGGCGGGCGGCCGGATCAGCAGCCAGGGCTCCAACGAGAGCGCTTTGTGCGCGATTGTCGAGCGCAGTATCGACGCCGCCAGCCACACGGGCCACAACAACGCGTGTGGCGTGAGCAAAGTAGTTTGCATCAGGATCGTCGGCATGCAGAACCAGCGCGGCATGGATCAGCGCCGCCGTCTCTCCGCCTTCGGACCAACTTTGACGCACCGATGATGTGGACGACTCAGCGGCCTCGTTCTCGTCCATGGCGTCACTCCTGTCCTTGCTGTCACTATCTCTGTACGCAGACAATACACACGGCCTCAGCCAATGCTCTCTGGTCCTCCTGTGCCTTCCCTGTCCCAATTCCGAGCGGTGTATGTGAGCGGTTTGTGCGGTGGCTGGTAGCGTCGAGTGGAGTCGCCGTGTTCAGGCCGCATGGGTCAGACGAAGCCCCCCGTTCCGTCCCGATCGTGCACCCGATGCAACCACATCATCACCCTCTCCACCCCGAACACCATCACCCCCCACCCGATCACCATCTCCCCCCACCCGATCACCATCACCCTCCACCCGATCACCATCACCCCCCACCCGATCACCATCACCCTCCCCCACCCGATCACCA